CCTTCCTCTCAGAAGGGGGACAGGTACAGACGCAATGAAGGCGACGAGATGCATCACTGGATTTTGAAATCAACTAAATTTTTCCCCCAAGGAAACGGTCATGCGACCACCTCTAACGAGGGGTAGTTGCTGCCGAGGTGGACCAGCCGAGTGGGGTGCAGAAGGTGCGCCTCAAAAGAAGGAAGGAGCGACATGCAAGGCAGGTGGTTGTTTTAGTTAACTACTTGACGAAGCGGATTCCTCAAATTCCAAGTTTTCTTCTAGTCATGCTGAACTTTAGCTGAAAGATTTTGTCTCCAAATTACTTTTAACTGCGAAGATTGATATCAACAACGGGGGAACATGATATTTCCATCATCCTAGCGTTTAAAAACAGACGCTTAACAAAGGATTCCATCCACTATGGTTGATCATACACCCATCTGTAGTATGTGCTGACAGCATTGATATAAATAGCCTTCTCCCCATACTATAAATTATCACAGCTTTGTAACGTATCTTTTAGGCGAATAATTAACATGCCTGTGAAGTGGTTGAAGTCCTCGGGATCGACACTTCAAAAAGGAGGGAGCTGTTTAGCAAAAGGGCACTTGTTTTAGTCACATTTTGAATAACGCGAGTTTTTAACTGCAGTTAAGCCTTGTAGACTTTCCGCATCTCTCATTGTTAGCAACGAAAATTTTATCATCTGGAATGACTTGATATTGAAAGTGTGAGACACCTAAAAGCCCCAGATTGAGTGGTTGATTAGGTTAAAAATCCCATCCTAATTCTAACTGCTTAGAGCAGTTGGTAGACTTCGTCGTGTTCAAAAGACTCACTAGGTGACGTTTGATGATCCGGCGAATTCCAGGCGCTGGCTGCTACGGGTTGAGCAAGTTTTGAGTGACTACCGTAGGAGCCGGTGTCACCAGTCAATGAGGATTGCGAACCACGACGTCTAAAGGCTCGATCGATAGAGCTTCGTAGCTGAAAGCGGAGTAGTGAAATATACTACTTACAGGCACATAAGTATACAACAACGGTGATGGCAAGAAAAAATGCCCTACTTTGTTGATATGCACATTTGAAGGGTCAGGCCTCGACTTTTAAAATTTCGCTTTTAAATTCCTACCCAGCCTCCCTTCCTGATACCCGAAGACTTGGGGGTCCCGGGAGGACAGCTGTTTGATTTCTCCTCCTCCACATTCACTACGTCCGCAGCAGCAACTGGGGCGTTGGCATTGGTGTTGGTAGTACTTGACGGTGGGAAAAGTGGTTTTCCACTGCTTGAATCAACAGCGCCAGAGAAGGAACGCTCCTGAACCATGGAGTCGATGATCTGGCGCAGCTCTCGCAGTTCAGAATCCTTTGAAATTAAGGAGACACAACTGTGTTCATCCAAAAATGACATTTTTTTGGTGTGCTGTGGGTTGATAAGTTATCTACCTACTACCGTCTCCACCGCACACCCCTGCGTTCCTTCAATACGAAAGAATGGTATCTTTAAAGGCATTTACAGCAGCGAATCTTCTCCTTCACCTTCTGTGGCAAGCGTTATTCACCCTTCCACTTCCTGCGATAGTTTACAAATCTCGCATATGCAATGCCCGAGGGGCGGAGGGATAAAGGCGCGGAGTGTTTAAATTCCACTGTGCAATACCAGCCGCAAGAATAAATGCAGTTGCAGAATGACTCAGCAACTATTATTTGTGTACGCAGATCGCATTCATGGACGGTTTGCCCGTCAGAGCGGAGTGGCGATTTCTGCAGTTCTGGCATTTACCGCGCACGACCTACGTGGAAGTTCCCCGGTGAGGATAACTTACCACCCTAACTTTTTTGAAAGGTCACATTGGAAGGTATTACATACTGGCCAGCCTACGCCAGCCCAGGGGGCTGTATAATCACATCTTAGCGCCAGATGACATGACGGGAGACTTTGTTACAATTCCCAATTTGAGTGCCATCCAGAGGACCGTTCCCTTTGGAGAGACAGGTTAAGAATCGCATCTCAAATTTGCTTCAGCTAGAAGTCATCTCGGTCGAGCTGCTTGAATGAGGTTAATAAACATGTCAAGCCAGTTTGGCTTAAAATATTCAAATGGACCCTTCTGTTATAAAGGAAGTGCACACAGACAGTCCAAATATCGTCTACTGATTAATAAAATACCCGATTTGTTAATAAAATATTGCGTTGATATTGGGATTCGGGGTTCATTTTTAAAGCCATTTTGAGAAGCATTGAATTTACTAGTCGTCTGTATGCTTGTTTCATATTTTTTAAACCACTCCACGTTACAAAATTTGTCATTTACGATCAAAATAAAGAAGAGTATCTAGCGAACATCAAATGGAAAGTACACGGAGTTATGAAATAAAAGCAATTTAGTGAGCAACTCTTTTCCAACCGCGACAGAGCATTCCTTATTGCCACTTTTATTCTTTTTTCTAGATGATTTGGCTCACCTTCTCAGCAGCCGAGACGGTTAAACTCTGAAGGCGTTGAGCCATGTTGGCCAGACTCTGTTCAAAATTGGCCACGAGACAGGCCTATAACAAGGAAGGCGCACTTTTTATGAACAATAAAGAAAAAAAACTGCGGCATTTTAAACAACTCCCACTTGATTTGATTGCCCGAAGCTTGACCTAAGCTTACCAACCGTTTCTCCGAGAATATGCATCCTGATTATCAAAAGAATTTGCGATCACCGCTTTCAAAAAGACCAAAAAAGAAATGCTACTTAACCTTGGGGGAGAAAATGCAGATTTTTTTTAAATAGGAAAGGATAGTATTTGGAGTTAGTGCATGCTATTTTGATTAAGTAGATTTAATGTCAAAAAATCCCTTATTTTGTCTTCGTTTTAAGAAACAAATAAAAAATTAAAGGAACTGTTAATTAACTTTAGTAATGTTTTAAAAGAGAAAACCATTTGCTTCAAATCAGCGGCTTTTTCAAATGGGGACTGGAATCACCAGTGCGTTGAAAAACCGAGAGAGCTGAAGCTCTGGCAAGTGCATAGCGTCTATGGTAGTTTTTTATCAAGGAAAAATCAAAAGATTTTTAAAATTTGAGAAAAGAAATACTTTAAAAGGATTCCCAAACCCACAATCTAGTTACTTATAGTCCAGTGATTGCCCTGTTTCATGTTTCCATCGCTTTTTTTCCAGTGCATTGAAGCGTCAGTTTTCAGAGGAGTTGTGAAACCTTCCCAGAAAAAAAGGAAATGGGATTTTTGCTGTAACTTATAAATCCTAACTCCTAATTGTTTTCCAAAAAGGGGATCGACGTTTGCTACGTTAGAAAATTCAGGGTGGGGGGGGGGGGGGAGAGTGGGGGAAAGGAAATCGTTTTCCAGCGTCAAGTTGGACTACTT